CTTATTAAAAAGCATATTTTTTTCGACGAATCACTGCGATGCTAATTAGTCTACTAGCCATTGAATAAGCGGATTAGTTTAATTAGGCGACAGCGTAGAACATAAAACAAAACAAAGCAAAATGCCACTATATCATAAATTAAGCCAGTCGGTTAGTAAGTAGACTGACTTAACTAACTGAGTTACAAATTAGGCAACTTTTCACAGAGGTGCACCAGTTCAAACTCACATACGACTTCCAAGTAGCACACAAAGGTAGAGAAAATAAGGAAAAAAATGGGATACAACAATAACTATAATCAGCAAAAATGTACTGGAGAAAGAAAGAATCACAGAGAAGACATCCTTTTGGGCGATTTCATTCTCAAAATCTGTACAATCCCATTTACATGCATAAGTTTACATAGAGAAGAATATGAAACCAAGGCCGAGGAGAGAAGAATGCACTTCAGTACCAAAGAAAACATTGTATATGGATCTGCACTTCAGAGGAGACTTATAGACCGACATCCTTAAGGGGGAAACCTCTAAATCCCCGAAAGAAAGCCTTTCCTGAAGCAACACTAACAGCGATATTCCCTAGCTACTTACTGGTTTTAAGCAAACAGAAGGATAAACTTCCGCATATGACCACTCCAATGTGCACATATCAGTTCACCTGCTCGTGAGGAGTTAGGTACATAAAGTTGTTCTATCCAGGTCCTTTTAAAACGTGTTAGAGAACACTACCTAGCATGGCTGCAAAGAGGAGGCACTGGTACGTCAACACCTGTCACAGCACCCCACAACTGACTCATTCATCATTCAGAGTCATTTACAAAGTAAACAAAAATCTACCAAAGGCAGTGTGTTTCCGATTTTTTTGTACTGCAGAGGCCCTCGTCATATGCTTCGAAAAGCCAAAGATGTGTTCAAAAGAAACTAGTCCAACCTCTACATTTACTATGAATCTAGTTCGATTTAGCTCCTTGATTTTGAGTTTTTTTTGTTGTTTTTTACATTTCAGTTATAAAAACTAGTATTTCAATTTGTTTCCATGCTCATCCCGTTCACCCTGGTGAGTGCGTACCACTGAAGAGTTTCAAACTAGGACGAAACAGCTGTCCAGTACTCCCCACTGGTTTTCCAGTGGTTCTCTAACTGGTGTCAGCTCATGATGAAATCCTGTAACCAAAAAGAAACTATTTTATATATAATGCAACTATTTTTTAAACCTGTGTAATTTTGTTACCAAGCCTTCGAACTTTTATATCAAGTTGAAAATTATTGTCACCTTTAATCTCCCTCGTTATTATGTGGAATTAAATAATAATTGTATCTACGTAAACTTATGTACAGCTGCTTCTGGGAATGAAATCGCTGAAAAGACAGATATCTTTGCTCAACTGCTTGTTCTTTTCTCTCTAATGTCCCGATGGGCATTTTCCACGATATGAAAGAAAGAATCATCAACAACAGTCTGTAACCATGGATTCTTAACATCCAAAGAACCATAACTAGGGAGTCTACACCTCCGTACGTGGTTACCTCAAACCAACTGTCAAAGACTTCATAGATTGGTGACAGCTTTTAATTAGACCACCTCTAACTCTATTTGAACCTAATCCCATGTCAGTTAACATTGTTGATCGAGAAAGGCGGTGGCTTACGGAATGCGCAACACATGTTCTGGCCGTCTCAATCGATCTAATTTTGCAACCACATCGGTTGACTTACTCTTCTCATTCAACACAGCACGTCTAACCTGAATATTGATGATCAAAAACAAGAACACTGCAAGACTGTACAAGGATCTTCTAGGGACAATGTTTTCATTTCTGGCGGTAAGGAAACAGAAAGGTCGTCAGTATTTCCACCTATTTCATATTTATCAGAAGCAGCATGTAGTTGATTCGATTACCATTCTGATTTCATTGAAATAAGAGAGTGATTATCTTGAGATGGACTTTGTAGAGTTCTTCCAGCCAAATAGATATGATAGATGTCTACTAAAACGTTGGACTGTATTCGACTGATAGCCGCAACTGCCTTTAGCCATACTAAATCATGCATACGATTATTTCTCTAAGATATACGCTTTTTTCGCTTGCTTTTTCGACAAAAGGAGGATGTTTTCAACTTGTTAAGGATACGAAGGTTATTCATAGAACTGTATTTGCTTGACATGTAGGCGACTAAAACAGAAGTATACAAGGATTGACCAGGAACTCCTGAAGTATACGTAGCAACCTCACTTCCAGAGGTTGTGCAACTATCATGTCGTCAGATAAGTCATTTTTGGCAGTTACCAGAACGAAACACATCGGATATGATATCAGATGGTTGGAGGCAATCGGAAGGAAGCCTTGCTTGACCTAGGTTTCATGCTAGTTGTCACTCACCAGCAAGACGTATCTGCAACCTTGAAGGGACTGATGTCCTTTCTGAGATTCGAACTCGCGTCACCCAGTGCTTCAGTCAGAGACGTTGCCACTGAGCACTGGGTGCCAACTAGCACGAAACCTAGGTCAAGCAAGGCTTCCTGCCGATTGCCTCCAACCATCTAATATCATCAAATCAATGTGCACCGTGATGGCAAGCCACCTAGTGGCATGGTGGCCACATTGCAAACCTGACTGACAGAATTCAGTCTGCACCAAAGATAGGACTCGACACACACACATCGCACTAGTTACTAGTGTCCAATCAAAGTACACATCGGATATCTTATACGAAAACTATCAACAATCACTTCAACAAATTTTGGTGAAGCTTCTGTACATTGTCGATTCGTTTCCTTTACTGGTCGTTATTTATCATTATTGAATCTATTTTGTTGACGTGAACTCTGACTTGTAGGCATCATAATAGCGAAAAATTATAGGCCTGTTAAACCGCTTGTAGGAGAATCATATTCGTGACTGGATCTAAGTGGATAGAAAGTTGACTAAGCTTCTAACTCAGTAGTCATATCTTCATCCTTTCTCCTACATACTAACCGTGCCAGTTCAGCCGTAAAGCTACCAAAATAACGGGTATAGTTGTGTTGGGTTGTCAAACTTTTTCGAATATGCTCAATAGTGACCGTCTGAACTGCAGTATGCTGACGGATGTCGAGGCTGACACATACCGTACTCCCACCATGAAGAAAAACCGAAAAACACTGACACTATACTGGGTATAATCATAGCTGAAACCACATTTACGAGGCTGTACAAACCAATTACCCAGACGAAGGAATCCTTTGTTAAGCAAACATCACTCGACTACATTATATGTAATGCCCGAAATAGGACCAGTTTCCATGATCTTCTTTGCGAAGCTCGAACAGAACACAGCTTTCAGCACTAGGGAAATCATTGTTTCCGTACGAAAACACACAAAGCTCTTTCGAGAATGCACATAGATCTAAGCAATCTGATGCTTCAGGTTTCATAACGCACTCAAGCAGAACGACTGCCAAGCTTTTGATGACATGGAGCAGGTGACTATATTATTGGGATCATTCAACGGATCATTATATTTCTTTGTAAAGAACGTACTTTCGATACAATTATTATTATTGTTTCCTTTAATTCCTAGAGGAAAATAAGACTTCAGCTGTGCTTCTCCATTGCGTTCGGTTCTCTGCTCGAGTCTTCACCTGACTTCAAGTCTGTCCACAAGTTTTCATCTCCTCTTCACATGACCTCCTCCAAGTCACCCTTGCACTGACGACCAACTCGCCGCTTCCCTTTCGGGTTCCATTCGAGCAATGGCTTGTCTAGTGATGTCACTTGATGGCTTCCTCAGAGTATGGCCATCTAATCCATCTCCATTTCTTCCTGCCTATTTGTTTCACAATCGGTTCCCGCTGTGTTGGTTCGCTCATTGCCAGAGATCTCTGTTGCTGATCTTTTCTGGCCGGCCATCTGATCTTGAGTGGTATTGAGCGAAGACAACCTAAAACTCTTATTTTTGTGGAATATCTTGCCAAAAAGTTGCAAAAAACTATTGCAATTATTTGCCTTTGAAACACTGAATCTTTGGATATAATACTGTTAATAGATAATACCTAAAAACTATCTATTTGCCACTCTGTGCTTGTTTAACACTAACTAATATCTATAATTGTATATATATATATTGATGGATTTACTGTTCAAGTTGGCTCAGGTCAGTGAGTCTATGATTTTGGTATCATTTTGGTTAACTGTACTTTCGATACAATATGCTACTGAAATTAGCCAGTGCGACGATGTTGATGAAGTAGTGCATGAGCGAAGTATCATTAGGACTGATGAACTGATGGTTCATCAAGCTGGACATATTACATAGAATTCATTCCATTGATAGATACACTGTCAATTTTAACCATGCGCCGGTGGCATAGCGGTTAGGACGCTCGCCGACCATGCACATGGTCCGGGGTTCGATCCCCGGCAACCGACGCACTCTTTTACCTCGCTAAGCCAGAAATAATGCTGGTAAAGAGGGATGGTTGGGCATGAGACCTAGCAACCCCATCCTGTAAAATAAACACTGCTAAAGAAACTTTAAGCCACTAGCTTGAAGCCCTATGTTCCACTGGGGAACGTGAAGGAAAAAAAATACTACACTAAGCGCAATATTCCGTCATACGGACAGCCATAAAATACGAAAATAATAGTAATAAATATAAAATCATGTGCATGACAGACAAGACCATAGTAGAAGTAACATTAGTAGTAGTTATGTATGCACCTAAACTGTAGCTATAAATCATAAACATGAGAGAAAAAAAAGGAAGGCAAGAGAAAAACACTTATAAAAAAATAGACCCCTTCTTTTTTTAAAAATGAAACGCAATTTATATCGTATCACCAAGTGAAAGTTAAAAAGAGAAACACTGACTGGTGAAATAATCCCCATTTTCCTAACTTCATTTTATATCCTGTAAACCTGAGACTACACATGCAACGTAAATATGCACATACATACACACACACAACAAGGGTGGGGAAATACTTTCATCACACACAGTAGAAAAACTATCGACTTACCCATGCAATTTTCGGTATAAAAGTCTGCGTCTGTTCAGACGGCGAGAGGGAAGGAGACAGAGACAGCGGGGAGAAAAGGAGGTGAAAAACAAACAAACGAATTAGTAATGAGTTTTAAAAAAATCTAAAAAAAAAGTAAAACAATCTACGCCATAAAGCTCAAATCGATATCAGTAGTATATATCGGTTTAAGAGACAGAAAAAACGGCAATCAATATTACTGTGATAGAGTAAAATCCATAAAAAAGCAACATTTCAGTGATAAACCTGTAAAAGGGTGTGTGTGTGTGTAGGGGATAGTGCATGCTGCTAAAGTGTATTATTGTACAGCGTGTGAATAGGGGGGGGGGGGAAAGGAGGCTAATCACGGCAATCTGGTTCCCAGTGGTATTAACAGTAGTAATGGTAGCAGCTGCAGTTTTACTTTGAATGAAACTCACTCGTGGTGGTGATAAAATGTATTTTTAGATTATTTGGAAGAGAGGCAAGTTTGTTAAAACAGCACTAATGATCGTGTTAGTTGATTTCGATGGAAGAGACAACAGTTCGTTCAGTGTGTCAAATATCAATTTCAAATTCAAAAAAGGGCACGGTTAATCACACACACACACACAGGTGATAAAAGAATTTCTTAGATGAAGGAAAGATTTCAGACGCGATATGGAGGGAAACACACACAATTTTAAGTGCAGTATAAAAGAAGAGGAGTTCAGTGAAGAGTTTACTCATCTTTTCACCGATATCATTCTCTCAAAGTGTACAGGGGTACATATTGAGTACATTGTCATAGTAACAAAACGAATGTTTCCAGAAATGTGGCATTATAATTGTAAGTTTTTGATAATAATTACATAACGTACGTAATACAGAAAGCGTTAATCGGGAAGAAACTAAAATAAAATCAATTAAGTAAATTGAGTGACGCAACACAACTGACAGGATTGAGTAGAGCTCAAGCAAAACTGAACGAAGGTCAAGTTAAGATCAGTGTCATGAATCAAACCTCTTCTGTATGCAGAGTTCAGGATTGTAGACGTACATTGCTATAGATTCTGAGGTTTGAAGAAGCTTAATTCATACTTCTTTGGCAATATTTATGCATACTCTGTAGATAATTCCGAAGTTGGTTTGCAAGTTCTCTCGGTGTCCAAAATAGAGCTGATGGGGGGGGGGGAAGATCTTTCTCCTTCCTTGTAAAACGATGAATGTAAATGCCCGATGACACGTTTGGATAGCAAACGCTGAGTAAGGTCGCCACACTTAACTCTACAGGAACAGGACAACTGGTAGATGATACACAATGATGAAGTAAGAAGTGGTCGATTATCCTTCACGTTTTGTGTGTAGAGAGAGAGAGTAAGTCTAAGATCAGCGGCGAGGAAGGTTTTACACTTCAGTGAATGGAACAAGCGGTTTCTTAGTATTTTATTATTTCCCTCCCCTCTTTCCACTACTACATTTCTACTCCTCATGACCCTGTTTCAATCTTGGTTGAGCTCTACTCAACCCTGTCAATTATATAACGTCACTCAATTTACTTAATTGATTTTATTTTAGTTTCTTCCCGATTAACACCTTCTGTATTATGTGGTTATTATCAAAATCCTACGATTTTAAAAACACATCTTTGGAAACATTGCTTTTGTTACAATGAAAATGTATTCAATATACATGTGATTGTACAGCTTGAGAATTATATGGCTGAAAAGAGTAACTCTTCGCTGGACGTCTCATCTTTTATATGGTTTAATGGGGGGATTTTCAAGCTAATTAAATGGAATACACTCACCCAATGAACATTTTTCTGTCTCACTTATTATGTCATTAGCTGTGTTTAGTGCGTAAGAGTTTATGATGGTACTTATCCACACCCAAGCGGAAATAGATAGAATGGAAATTGCGAACCATTCAGATGTATTTGTTGAAAGTCAGTGACTTGAACACTGCATCCTCCCCATTCACCATATATAGTACTTACATTAATACAATCGAAGTCGCTAAAATATTACGTGATACAAGGCGATCGATGCCCTTGCCTTGAAATTAATTCCACGTGCACCGTGGTAGCAAGTCACCTAACTTGTTGACTCCATATCGTAGATAAAACTGCTGGATAGAATTCAGTCAGTACACAATACTAGGGCCTAGACACATCTTACAAGATATTTTTGGGCTCTATTGGGAAGTCGTGATCACCAGTGGGGTCCAACCGGTCCGGAGTGAGGAAAGATACTCACCACGGATGACATTAGCTGGTGGTCACGCTAAAATCACGAATTTGCAGAAGTTGGAATTCATGCACTGGCCATTGGGTCGGCTTCCAATGGCTGAATGGTCTATGAGCTCGCCTGGGTTTGAACCCCAGTGGGTGCGTACTACCGAAGAGTTCCAAACAGCTGCTCAGTACTCCCTGCAGGTTTTCCAGCTCATGGTGGAAATCCTGTAACCAATCAAATCCCTGCAAACCAACACTTAATATAAAAGCAACTGAGTGTTTTCTTTGATTTATGAATTTCGGTTAATTCTAAACAAAATGAATGAGAGTGAACATGTACCGACAACAAACCACCTTATTTAAAAGATATTAACTGGAAATAAGCAGAGAATATTTTTTAAAAGGTTGAAAAATCGTACAACTCTTCACGGATACTGACTGACTGAGTTTCACCGTAGAACTTTTAATAAAAGTTAAGCAATTCGAGTTGCTGCACTCCAGGAGGCACACAAAGGTGTAGAAAGGGGAGAAAAATTTCATCGGAACTATAATGAACAAAAATGTACAGGAGAAAGAATAGTAACATGGAAAAACATGAGGGTTTAATGGATATGGGAGAACACAGGGAGAGAATACATGTGCTATATATCACCAATAGTCTCCAACCATTAGTTCTTAACATCCTGAGGATCCCAACCAGACAGTCTACATCATCCTATGCGTCTGCCTCAAACCAACTGTCAAAGAATTCATGGGCTGATTCCAGGTTTTGGTATGACCACCCCTAACACCTTTTTCCCACCTAACCCTATCCCAGCTAACATTGCTCATCGAGAAATGCCTCGGCTCACGATGATCAGTAAGTGTCCTAGCTATCTCAATCTATGTGACTTTATAACCTCATCGATTGAATTACCCTCTTTACCTAACACTCCACGCCTAACCTCAATATTGATGACAACATTATACTGTGATGAGAGCTGGCTGCAAGACAAAATTGTAGACAGCAATTCACATCAATGTTCACGTCCCGAATCGGGGTCATGAGAAAAAACAACAATAACAAAGCCTAACCTTGAGGAACTCACCAACCAATCACAGCAGACTTAACGTGTGCAAAAGAGGATTCGCAGATATATATGGCTTAACTTTCTGAGAAACGGAAGATAGAACGCAAACATCTGTGGTCAAAGACACTTGACATTTTCATATCTTCCATTTTCGATGGCCCTGTCTCACACAGTTATGAAGAAGGACAGAGAGAACTGCAAATAAGTGAAGTGAACAACACGCTCTATCACTTCACTCCATACATTTAAGCTAGGAGTCCAGTCCCAGTGTAGATACGTTTCTCTTAGAATTAAAATCGCTTCTTTTAAAGACAGAAACAACTTTAATAAGTGTTCCCTTTTATGCAAGGTTGATTCTAAAATAATTTCCTTGAAAAAAAAATACTAGAAACAGTGAAATTAAGAGTGGGTTTGATACCCCAGAAATTCAATCAGAATCTTTCATTACTCAACCAGACAAAATGATTGAATCTGCACCACCACATACTGTGTGCTACAAAACAGAAGTTCAAATTCACATAGATCAAAACAAGACATCACCAGCATCAGTAAACTCAGTAAGGCATAGAAATCTAGCTAGATCTAGCTACGACGACCTCTGATAAGGTCGTCCCCAAAACAAAATACTTCAGCCACCCGTCCCCCCCACACACACACACGCAACAGAAAGGAATACAATAACCATCCTAATTTCTGAAATATTTAGGTAGACAGAGGGGGAGAGACAGGTTGATCATTGTATATATGTTTTAATTCAATCAACATCACTATTGAGTGTGTGTAGAAAATTTTACTGGCATTAAAATCAATCAGGAAGAAAAGAGAGAAGCAGAATTATGCAAATCACCTCGGAAATGTGTGTGTTACTCTACCCTGATGTTGTCAAAGGTGTTATTCACCAAATGATGGTACTTCTGTATCACACTGCGATGTATCAACTCCAAGCTGAAGTCTCCGCTGAGCGTCAGGACTAAATAAACTATCCAGCTTAGAGAACAAAAGTATACCAATAGTATCATCCACCTGAGAGCTACAAATCTTCCTATCTAAACTAAAACTGATACAGTGAAGAACACCTTACTTACTATAAGACAAGACACATCACTTTTTTATTGCCCCTTCTTGTGCACACATACTTCCTACAGGGAACACTAGATAGCTATTACTTCTTAGCTTGTGTTTTCCAATCGTGCAAACTCACTTCTCCATCTGGGGAGAGAACCTAGGGCCATTAGATCACGTGGCTTATATGTATTCCACCTACCACAGATCCACCGCCACTTTCATTCTTTTGCGTTCCGAGTGGAACATAGAGCTTCGGCGTACAGTAGTGAAGTTCCAGTAACAGCAGTGGCTTTTTACGGCGTGGAGTTGTTAGCCTCACACCCAACCTTCCCTCTTTACCGGTCTTAGTACCAGGTAAGCGGTACATTAGCAGTGCATTGACCAGTAATCGGACCCTGAACCGCATGAATGGTTGGTGAGCGTTCTACACAAGTGAGCCACCAACGCATATACTGTCATTCTAAGCTCTCACGTAAACATACCCACAAATAAATGTGATGCACAATTCATGATCACATATCTTAGCTTATCTATCACGCTAACGTGCATTGATACACAAAAAAGGCACCATTATTCAAGCTGTGTACACTTGTTCGTGTTCTATTGAACTGTAATAAGCGTGTACGGCATTTTACAAAAAGAAACTAGAAAAATAAATCAAAAACCGCGCAAAATGATTCAACTAGACTAGATAGCTGCATACATACACCCAAAAAACTCACACACACACACACACATAAATCACTATTCGTCTTCGCTACAATGATTTGTATGAAATTCAGTCTATGACGCAATAAAATAACTCACTTTATTTTGTCCCATCTAAGAGTTAAACAGTATTCGAAAGTAAAAACAACAACAATAATAAATTAATTAATTGAAGCGAAAATTTTTTTGCAGAAAACCACAGACACATTTGAGAAATCAAGGTTATGTATGCGTTGTGAAGGACACAACATTAAAACACATGTGCCAAAATTATTTTATCTCGAGAAGAATGGAAGTAGAGAAAATAACTCATGTATTCATATTTTTCAGGCAATGGTGACACATAAGAGCATGATGTCTGACGGATACCACCGGTTGCCATTATACACACATAACCAAAGTTTAGACAGGTGTTAGAAAACTAAGGAGAAATCAGCCACATATCCTCAGTCGCCTCAGATGAATCTACTTGTATGCTATCGTTGATTCAAAATAGGCGCTTACCACACTTGGATTTTGTGTGTGGGGGTACCACCTATATCTTAAGGTAAATTTTCAGATGGTAAAGTTTAGTTGTCCGATTTGGTAGAGCCGTTTTAAATGACCCAACATAGTATCTCACTGATTCTTACGCATTAGTAATCGTCGATGAGTCAAGAGAAATTAAATAAACTGTATGAATGAAGTATTTAAATGGTGGATGGTGACTAGCAGTGGAATCCAGCTCTATGTGCATTTCGTCCTATTTGGGACTCGTCAGCTGGATGTACCTGCGTTTCTCAGTGAGTGATGATGTTCCCACCTAGGCTCTAAGCGAAATGAATGAAGAATAGTATTAACAGAAGGAAGATGTAGTGAAGGTCGAGGAATAGACAAATATATAAAGAGTATGTGATCAATCGAAGAATCTGTTTGCTGATACAAACATACAGATGGTTTGCATATTTTTTAAATCGTTGGCACCAGGGATGTCGATTTCTTCTACAAGTATCTGAAAGAGAATTAGTTTTGAATGGAAAGCAAGCCCATAACACGTCTGCTTGAGAGGCTAGTGATATATATGCGATCAGTTTAGAGATTTTGGGACTAGTGAAGTTTTTCCGTAAGTGTTGTCTACGGACTCGCGCATAGGACATCGTTCTCAAACTATACCATATGACAAACTGCTAATACAATGAAAGTATCAGTTCTCAGTCTTGTTGATATCCAATCAAAATTTATAAGCACTGTGGGGGGGGGTTCTGGGAACAATTGTTTCAGTTTATACTGTTGGTTGTTCAGTCAGTATAATATACACGTCCTACTGTGGTGAGAGCTGTCTGCTAGCCAAAATTGGTAGACAGCAATTTACGTCAATGTTTACTTCCCAAATCTTGGTCATGAGAAAAAAAACAAGAACAAAGACTTTGCGTGGGCGGATACGAATCGCAGATATATGGTCTGACCTTCAAAGAAACAGCCAAAAAAAGGGATGAGAGAATAACTTTCAGCGAGAAAACAAGCAAATCAGAAGACGCTGTTTCTCTGCTAATAATAACGAATAATAATGTACATAAAAATCTATAAATATAAGTTGATTTTCTCAATAAACGATCTGTTGCCTAGCCCTTGTCTTCTGTCGTTACACTACTACTACTACGTCAACGTAACAGCTAGCGATCAGTGGTTCGAGATGTAAAAAGCAAATTTTTTAAAAAAAAACAGGAAATGTCATACTAATGCAGACTGAAAAAACGGATATGACTTTCAACGCTTTGAAGAAGATAAGGAGTACATGCACCTATACTATCACGATAATAGGAGACGACAGATTATTTAACAAATGACGATAACTCGATCACCTAGATTATAATGTCTCATGTCTAAATTGCCCATGAGTGGCATTTTATTCTAAATGTACGGCTTTAATGTATAATCATAAGAAGTTAGACATTAAACTCGTCTTCAATCAGAAATTATTAGGAAACAATTAAAATTTGGTATATTTTAGTTGTAGAAATCGTATAGATAAGATCTAACTCAAGTAGTCATAACAACAGCACTATATGCTAATCTAGGCCCAACTTAAGTTCTATTCCAATGTTAATCTGGCTGTATAAACCTATAAATACAACATTTCAGAACTACTTTTAAAAAATAAATAAAACCTGGCTTCTTAGTGTAAGGATAACACTGTCCCCACAAAACTCACGCTTATCCACTAAAAGAGGAACAGAGACAAACGGAGTCCAAAAGAATTATCACAGTAAATTTTTAAGCACGGAAGGAAGAGATTACGAGTTAAAATCATCAACCTTACACATTCTTGACATCATTAGTCGATTACAGAGGTTAGTACGTTACAAAAACTTCAACATGTATTATAGTAGTGAATTCTGGATCCGATGTACATTGCACTACCACTAATAATAGTGCAACTCACCTATACAAGACAGGTTACATTATTCCCATGGTCATGAATAACATCAGATGTTTGAGAGGATTTATAATACAATCCAGTCACCAAAAGCGAAACAAGAGGGGCCTACTGATTAAATATCAAATGATTAGGTCAGTGGGCTAAACAACTGCGTGACAATAATAAAACAGAGAAAAACGACATTAACTTAACGATGCAGAATAAGAGTGACATATTAGTCGCAGGGTACTGGCACCCAACAATCGTCATATCTTTTGACCTGAAAGCGGCATTTGATTCTATCTACGGAGGGGTACTATGGCGATGTTTGGCTGTGAAGGGAATGCCGAGAAAATACATCGCACTGATCAAGGCACTCACACTCTACTCGAATTCATGCAACCAGGTCTTCGATCATAGGTGTCTGCGTTTTATCTTCCGTGTGAAGTGGTACAACAAGATGAGCAATATCGAGGTTAGGCTTTGGCGACTGCTAAGTAAGGAGAGAAAATCAATCGATGAGGCTGTGGAATTACATCGACTGAGATGGTTAGGACATGTGTTACGTATGCCTAGCCATCGCCTTCCTCGACAATGGGCGATGCTAGCTGACATTGGGTGGACCAGGTTGGAAAAGAGCTAGTGGTGGTCAAACGAAAACACGGCCTCATCAGTCAACGAAATCCACAACAATTAGTTTAAGTCGGCCACGTGAGAAGGTGTAGACTTCCTGGTTGGGGCCCTTAGGATGGTAAAAACCAATGAATGCCGGAGACAATCGGTGATATGGCTCAAAATCGTCCTCAATGACAGCACAGATGCATTCAGTCTTTGTGATATACAATATCCAATAAAATTCCATTATTCTTCCATATTTCTATTCTTTTTGCCTCATATTTCTGTTTATTATCTCCCTTTACTCTCTTCTCTTGTTTGGTGTACTATTGAGAGGGAATGTGACAACTCGAACTACTGCACATCTGTGCAAAGTTCTACGTCGAAACCAGTCAGTCATCATCAGTTAGTCGCAGGGTGTAGAAATTGGTTACTGCATCTCAGGTCCAAACATTCAACCTTATTAAATTGTATGACACGACAGTTCAAGGCATCATTACTCATCGCGATAGCATTACAAAGACTATCTTCAGTCTACAATGAAGTAGAAAGGTAAACAAAGAAACAAGAAGTCTTTGCACACTTTTTCCTACTTGACAACTACTTTCTGTTGTCCCGTATCCCTCCCCTCCCTAACTACATCTTTGCAGCTGTACCACCAATGGATAGATCTTTCTGCATTTTGTCTGATTGACTAAGTTTAAACATAGAATTATGTACGGAAGTACAACAGTTATTACTGCCGCACTCCATGTAGCACACAAAGGTAGAGTGAAGAGAGAGAGTGAAAGGTTCGAAAGAACTATACTGAGCAGAAATGTACACAAGAAAGAATAGTAACATGGAAAAAAACATGAGGATTTAATGGATATGAGAGATCACAAAGAGTGAATCTTCATCTGCGAGAACAGCTTTGACTCATATCTCCAATAGTTTCTAGACATTGGCGCTCTTAGCACCCCGAGGTCGCCAACTAGGCAGTATACAACTCTCTATGTGGCTGGCTAGCTCAAACCTCCTGTCAAAGACTTCATGGACTGGTGACAGGTTTTCTTTTGCCCACCCCTAGATTTTGTGCTTTGAATAAACCAGTCGACAATAAAAATAAATCTGTGGCTTGATATGTAAATACTGAATCCAGTTACATTGTGTGCATATATATATATATATAAATATATATATATATACCATGACTATTCTATATTCGTTAGAGAACCATTGAAAACCGGGGAGCACTAGACAGCTGTTTCGTCCTAGTTTGGGACTCATCTTCAGTACTCACCCACCACCAGGGTTCCAAAACACAGGGCCTCCCAGTTAGAAGGCAAGCTCGTATACCATTCAGCCACTGGGACCCGATTCAATGGCTAGCCCATGAATTCTAACTTCTACCAATTCGTGATTTTAGTGTGACCACTAACCAATGTCATCGACGGGAATTCCATCCTCACTCCCGACTGGATTGCCCCCACTGGTCACGACTTCTCACTAGGACTCCAGGTAAATTCGTCTTGTAGGCAGTCACCAGAGAGCATCAGAATAATTTTCAAGAATTAGTTTGCAAGGATTCTGTTTGTTTATCTTGCCTTGTAACTGGAAGGTCCTGGATTCGAACCATGGCGGTAGGTGCGTACTGCCGACGAGTCCCAAACTAGGACGAAACAGTCATTCAGTACTCCCTGGTCTTCAGTGGTTTTCTAACTGATATCAATCCTAGGTCTAAAGTGAAACAAACAGAACCCCTACAAACTAATTCTTGAATATTCTATATTCATTGAATTATTCCAAGAAGTGAAGTAATTGAACTCCACTTATTTTTTTCTAGAAATAATGGTGATCACAATACATACAACAAATCTCCCTCACTCACTCACTCTCTCTCTTACTTTCACAAATATTTATTTAACTAGGTATATCGTGATCACAATCATAATTAGATTGTCATGCCATAAAACAAACCAATGCATCATTCATTGTAAGTAAACAAAAGTATGCGCACAAGCAAATTCGATATTTAAAAAAAAAAATCACGTGATTTTATAATATTTTTTGCGTGTAACAGTCTCTCATCTGATTGTAAACAATTAAACGATTCGTTTTT